GTAAGTTTTCTTTTATTTTCTGCTATTTCGCTGCAATAAAATTAAGCATGAGCAATCAGTAAAAGGACAAAGGCAGAAAGTATCATTTGTAAAAAAAAAATATCATCTATTTTTTTCTCAGATTTAGTCCTGGTCTAGAACAAAACAATAAACATTGTAGATTTTAGAAACCAGAAAAACCTATTCTCATTTTTTTTCCTAATATAGGACCGATTTCTTATAATAATAATGGATCAGAACATCCCTAATTGTGGTGACGCTTGTGAATAATGGCTTTCCTCCCCGATGAAGATTTTAAGTTAAAAATAATGAGCCTCACTATCATTTATTTTGCAACCATATACTCACTGCTGGGAATCTCCTAAGAAAAGGTTTTAAACTCATCATTGTATCTGGATGCCTTGTTTCACATGTTTTCACATAAAGAAATGGCTGCTAAATATGTAGAAGTCAACAGCCAAAGACTACTCAGACTCATCCTCAGCTCCACACCTTGGAGGTGATTATACCTGCTATCCAACACTTAAAAAATGTTTATATAAGTAGCATCAGTGCTGTTTGATGTGGATGAAAAACATGTCACAATATAAGCCTTTCATATCATGTAAAATCTATAATTATTGACCTTTTTGCTTGTTATAACTATTTGAAGTAAGGACAAGAGAGAGAAAAATGCCCAAACTGAAGTAATTGTAACCTTAATAGTATTTAAACATAAGTGTTAACCTTTACAGCAGGTCACCCCCAATTGGCTGCTAGACTTCCTCACAGACAGACTTCAGTCAGTCCAGGTTGGACAGAACACCTCTGATGTCATCACCCTAAGCACAGGCTCCCCTCAGGGCTGCTTCCTGAGCCCGATGCTGTTCACTCTGATGGCACGTGACTGCACCCCCAGGTTCACCACCAATTAGAAGACACCAACGGTGGTGGGCCTCATCAGAGACGACAATGACCTGGACTACAGAGAGAAGGTGGAGCAGCTGGTTGACTGGTGCAGAGATAACAGCCTCATCCTGAGCGTGGAGAAGACGAAGGAGATCATCTTGGACTTTAGAAAGAATTGGCCTAACCACGCTCCACTGGTCATCAACAGCTCAGCTGTAGAGGTGGTCATTCCTGGGGGTTCACATCACAGACAACCTCACCTGGACTATAAACACAACCTCACTGGTCAAAAGAGCACAGAAACGCATGTACTTCTTGCGGAGGATGAGGAGAGCCCACCTGCCCACACCCATCCTCCCCACCTTCTACAGAAGCACCATAGAGAGCGTTCTGAGCAGCTGTCTCACTGTGTGGTGTGGAGGCTGCAGCGCCGCAGACTGGAACATGAGAAGAGAAGTGAGAACAGCAGGAAACATCATCAGGTCTCCTCTTCCCTCCATAAAAGACATTTCATCCCAGCGTTGCGTTTCCCGAACCCATAATGTTATAAATGACCCCTCATACCCCCACCATGGACTGTTCTGTTCTGCATCACACTTGTAAACATTATATTTGCACTACATGGCGAATTTTCTAATCCCTTTAACTGCATTTTTCACCATATTTATTTATTTATTTTGCACTACTCTGAACCTTCCGTATCAGTACCTTTTGCACCATGTCTTTGAACTGGTTTTCCTTTTCTCTTATACTGTTTACAGTTTGTTCACTGCTGGAAATGTTCATTTCACTGCTAAGATGCTCATTCACTGTTGAAAAGCTGTATGCATCGAAATTAAAATTTGTCTTAGTCTAAGTCTATGAGATATATGGTTCTGGATCCATCGTTTCTATTACTGAACCTATAGAAACCAATCAGACATATTTTCTATTTATATTAATCAGGTTTCTGTGGTTATATACAGTATCATTCGTTTTTGTTGCTCAGTCCTTGTTGAGAAACAACCATTGTTAAGTAGATATTAAAAATCTAAATATAATATTTGCAAGTTGTTCCATTTGATTGTAATAAAAATCAGGCAGATTACTCCAGTCAGCAGCCCTTAGTCCCGAAATACAAGTAGAAGAACTGCCGTAATAAAAAAACAAAAATCTACATATGTAGATTAGGGTATAACCGCTATATGTTCAGCGACTCTCATCTTCCAAGGTGTTTAAAAACAGACCAGGAGGTCAACAGAAATAACTCAGTGGCGTCGCTGGAGGTGTAATATGAGTTTGTATCCTATATCCAATTTCCCTTCAGTAAACATTTCCATTGTAACACATCTGAGGCGGGGGCTAAATATCAGCTGAAGAAACTAACTCTCAGAGCTGCTTTTCTCTAAAGGGGGGAGGTTTGTTTGCTTGTTGGTTAATTTTTTTCCCCTTAAGTCCCATTTGTTCAGGTTCAACCTCCGAATTCTCAGATTTTGTTCTAGCTAGAAATGAACGGATCCGCTTTGATAGTGATTAATTACCTAGAACATCTGTGATATTACGTTGGATATCAGAGATCCAATTGAATGCATTTTACATGGAACTGTGATTTTTTTTCTTTTCGCTGCTTATTTGTTTTTAAATGATATAAAGTGCTTTTATATCTCTGTTAAAATGTTACCTTATTTATGTCGAGGCTAAAGCCTTTACTCACATTCAAGATATATGGCTCATCAATTCAACAATTGAATCAGATCAGTATCGGATATCGGCCGATACACTCAGCCCATTATCGGTATCAAACTGGATCAGAAAATAAAATGGATTGGTGCATCTCTTGTTATAGCTGAACATAGGAACAGATATCTGTGAGCGACTACATTTGTGTTGCAACTTTCTAACTCAAACTCACAATTACGTTAGTACCATGGTCTAATGTTTTCGATTTTGTAGTCTGGCTCATATTAACTGGCCGTTTGGATGAGCTAGGGTTCTGCAGCTTCCTGCACGCACCTCATTATTCACTCAGCAAATATAACCCTGACAAATCTGAAAAGGGCAATTCTTTTCTAGATGGAATCAATAAGGATTTATACGGAGATTGTGTATCTAAATAAAACAGGAGAACGATAATCTGGTTGATTTTATTAATGTTGTTAACCTGAAAATTATGTAGCCTACTTTCCTTGTTTTTTTTAAGCCAAAAAAACAATTTATCGTTAACTTATTTTTTCCCATCAATCCATCCATCCATCCATCCATCCATCCATCCATCCATCCATCCATCCATCCATCCATCCATCCATCCATCCATCCATCCATCCATCCATCCATCCATCCATCCATCCATCCATCCATCCATCCATCCATCCATCCATATAAGACTACTCAAAGCAAAGGTTGGATTTTGCTGTTAGATTCCACCTCTGCAGGTAAAGATTATTTTCTTCTTATTGCGCATCTTTAGCTGGCTAAGAAATCTAAAGGATGCTGCTGAATTTAAATAAATATAGGACATTTGGATCATTTAAAAATCCAGCTCATCCTTTCTCGTTGTGTTTTAGTTTTATCAAGGTTAGCTGCAGGTCTCTTGAATGTGATTTTTTAAAAGAATATCAATTTCAAATCAGTTCTGCATCGGCATTGCTCTGCATTGTTAATAATGTATGAGAAAGATAAGCATCACCTTGTTCCTGCTGTAATCCTGGAATCTTTACTATTTAACCTTGATTCATACAACAGTGAACTGGTTGAATAATTGTTAGATGTCCTGATGCATTCAAAATGCCTCATGTTCTGATTTGATTCAGTAGATTTAATTATTTCCTGCTATTGTGCAGATTGGCCCTGACCTGGCGTTGGCCCCTTTCTTTGGAAATGAAAATGTTAATTTCCTGCTTGACCACTTTTGGTTTTAGGAGCATTTCCATGCAAATCTTAAAGCCGAATGAAACAGAACAGAGTTTTTAGATACAGTTCAATCATGAAGGAAGTATTTTCCTCCATTTTGGGTGTTTTTTTGTGTAATAATTAATTTTTGTTGAACATCTGTGGTTTACTGTAAGCCTTATTCCTGTCTCATGCTCAATTACCAGGAAACCAGAAGTCTTACGTCAAAATTCCTGCACCTACTCAGAAAGGAGGGCCAGGGCAGCAGGCAGACTCTTTAGAGAAAAACACACAGAGTTGTGCAGTTCTGAAAAAAGCCACACACAAAAAAAAAAAAAAAAAAAAAATTCTCACTTGTCTTTACAAATACCATGTTGTGAAATGCCGTGAGTCAGGCCTTTGTAGCTGTAGGGCTGGCAGCTTAAGTAAACTATCTTGCTCAACTCCTTTTCTCCCTGAGAAGCTTGGATGGGGCTGATTGTCAGAGGGGTGCTTGTTGGATTATTCTGTCTGCAGACGCTGGGGGTCTGTGAAAGAGTCCAGACGACCTATAGTTTTTTTTTTTTTTTTCTCAAAGAATAATAATAATAATAGTAGCAAGGCTTGCAAATGTTTTCTTGCCCCTTCAACTTTCTGTCATTGTCAAAACCACAAAGATATATATATATATATATATATATATATATATATATATATATATATATATATATATATATATATATATATATATATATATATATATATATATATATATATATGTGTGTGTGAACCAATTCTGTTGCAGCTAAAGGTTCAGGTCTTTTGGAATATGTTTGTATTTACCAGCTTTTAATTGTATAGATTCAAACTGTAAATAATCATATAATGATAAAGCATAGGGATATCACTATGGATTTACTGCATTATCTTCCTCACCCTTTCACTGCCTAAAAGATGCACATATTACACACATTTCGCTTCCACATTAAGCTAAATTTGTTGGTAAACTGCATCATTTAAGAATATAATTTCTGTCACCAAAGTGGATATTTTCTGCCCTCTGGTGGAGAGGTATGGCATCTTGAATGTTTAACTTGGTTTGACCTTAAAACAGCTTCTAATGCATTAAAAGTTTTTTTTTCTTGTTTACCTTGGATGAGAAACACACAGACCACCTTAAACTGGTTTCATCGCCACCATCATGATGTCCTGCGGGTAAATATTCACTTCTGACTTTAACATTTTGTTCTTTGTCTGTCCTACAGGCTGTAAAGATGCAACACTTTCTCAACTCCCCCTCGACTGAAACTCTAATCTCCACAATGTTCGCTACAGAGTTCCTCTCTACCAGTTTAGAACCCACAGAACCGATCACCACAGACATCTCTGCCAGAACCTCTAGTAATGTCAGCTCCTTACGCTGCACCTATAAGGAGGATTTTAAGCAGATCTTACTGCCTACGGTGTACATCGTTGTCTTTGTGCTTGGCGTTCCTCTCAACGCTGTGGTCATACTAAAGATATGGAGGACCAGGCCCCACATCTCCCGGAACAACGTCTATATGCTCAACTTGGCCATAGCTGACTTCCTGTATGTGCTGTCTCTTCCTTTGCTCATCTACAACTACGCAAGCCATGACTACTGGCCCTTTGGGGAGTTTGCCTGTAAAATGGTCCGGTTTCAGTTTTACAGGTAGGCGACCTGATTTTCAAAATTCATGGAATTTCTACTTTTATTGTTTTTTTCTTAATGTTGTATTTTTATAGGAATGTCTCAAACCGGTATTGATAGCGGAAATGGGTCTAAAACCAGCCAATAAATGGATGTAGCAATATATGTCATCCTTCATGTAAAATCTCTGATGTAACCAAGCTTCTGTCTAAAGTTCATCTAACCGATTGGTTAATAATCAATGAATCAGTTATTCTCATAACTCTTAATGTGATGAAACCTTTTCTAATATTACAAACTATATAATCAGAAAGCAAAGAATGACTGATATCAGATTGGGTTAAGATTCGTATCTGTCATCCTAAAAGCCTCATTATTGCCATTATATCGGAAATGAAAAAATAATATTGGGACATCCCGAATGTTATTGCAATTAGGGGTGTGGGAAACAATCGTTTTGGCGATATATCGTGATATTTGGCTGCCCAATATAATATCGATCTTTCACTTCTTAGTATCGATTTTTTTTTTTAAATGGTTACATAAAACATTGATGGGAAAATGGGCTACCTCTGCACCACCACTCTGGCAGAAAGCGCTGTGGAGTCCTTTAACTGTGCGTGCAGCACCAAATCTGTATTTGAGGCAGTCACAGTGGAAGAAAACCCCAAACAACATGGATAATAATACCTTATCAATATTTTCTGATGAAAATATACAGCACTTGCTGTTTTATCTCATCATTTGATTTTGATAGCTGGGGAAAAAATGGCAATATATAGTGATACTGCAATATCGTGATAATATCTTATCGCGACCCAGGTATCGCGACATGTATCGAATTGCAACACTCATGCCAATACTCACCTCTAATTGCAATAGATCCAATGTCTGTATCATTGTCATTGCGCTCCTGGATAAGTAAAGGATGCATGAAAAACAGTCTTTTGTAACCCAAAAATTCTTTATCCAAAAAATATGGCATACGACAAATGATGGTGCAATTTCTTTTCTTTCAAAAAATAAAACAAAACAAGGTATAGCTCCATCCTCCTACAGTCTGTATCCATTTACAGAGAAAACTCAAACAGGAAATAAGCCTTTAGACATAAAAGTAAACATCACAATAAAGTAAACCTGCACTGATGTTAACCTTACAACAAATGTCAATAATAACAGAAAAAAAGCCTTGCACAAAAATTCTAAATATTCCTATAAATTAAATATTTCTTGTTTATGGCTCTAACACCGAATGTAATTATTGCCATTTTATATGCTCTTTTTACCTAATTTCTTTCTACTTAAGTTTGGACCATGAATAGAAATATTAAAGTAGTCATAAGCAGAGGTCAAGTAAGATTAGCTCTAGTTTAACATTTTTTTTACTCAAGTAAAAATAGAAAAGTATTTGATAAAAAGGCTAGTTGAGTACTGGGTAACTGTTGGATACTAAAATCAGATTTAATGTCTATAAATGTTGCTGAGAAACAGACTTTATGTACAAGTTCAATTCTGGCATTTTAAAGACTCAAATGCCTAAAGAATAGAAATAAATGTTATGAATATAAAAGAAAAGAATTATGCAAAAGACATACTTTTATCGAATTTCTTATCAGCATTAAACTTAGAAAACCAGTCCATACAATGACAACTATATTTATGTTAGGATAAGATAATGAATTTCCACAGTTAATATCTACTGTTTACTGTATGTTTACCTGATTTTGGAATTATTTAAATTACTCAGTGGACAGAATAATCAGAGATTTTACTTTTACAAGAATATTACTCAAGTAAAAATGAGAAGTATGACACAGTAAATCTACTCCTAAAAGTAAATTTTTTCAGATTTTTACTCAAATAAATGTAACTGAATAAAAATATTTCTACCCACCTCTAGTCCTAAATTAAAATAAACTGCTGTTTATTTATAAAGGAAAACAAAGACAGAGATTAATAGTGTTAGGACTCCAGCAAGGTTATGATCCACTGAAGGCTGATGCTTTGCTGAGGTCCTGTGTTCAGACTTTGCTGAATCAAAGCCTTTCTGACCTCTTTTACTCTTTAAAAGATTTAACTTTTTATTTTAGTAGTTCATAGGAGTCTCAGGACCTTTTTGAAGCCCTTGGAAATAATTTTTTGTGTCCACCAACACAATTTTAGGAATGGCCCACATCGGATGCAGTTGGAAATTAAATCAAAGCAAAGTGGTAATTTTTACGGTGAGATTTGGGCTAAAATATATATTTTTTTATGATGAAATTGTTCGCTAATACACAGCCTATTTAAATTTCCCTGGAAAAAGGATCAAAACCATCTAAAGGCTTTCAATGAAGAACAGACTTTGGTACATCTGTTTGTAAAATGTGCCAAAAAATGGTTTATAGAGTCCATTTTCTACGCAAATTCCTTCACTGTACTAAAATATGGCCTGGTGAAATGTCTTGCTCATCAGCTAAAAATGCTTGTTGCTGCTTTGTTTTTTTCCTTGGAGGACTATGGCATCCACATAGTTTGAGTCATACGAGTTTGAGATATATTCTGGAGATCTTAAAAATGTTTTTTCGTTCATTTTACTTTTTTTTTTTAGCACTAACTAAACAACACATTTCTACGGAAGAGGATTAGGGCCACTAAAAAAAATAAAAACAGTTAACTGATTTTTAAGTTTTATTTCAGTATATTGAGAAAGAAGTCAGAATTCTGACTTTAATCTCAGAATTCTCATTTTTTTTCTTAGAATTCTGACTTTTTTCTCAGAATTCAGATTTTTATCTCCGAATTTTGACATTTTTCACAGAATTCTGACTTTTTTCTCCGAATATTTGGATCTTAATGTAGATGGGCACCATGAAGGAAGAGATGTGGGAGCGCTCAACTTCACTGACAAAGATGTGAGTTTTTTGGGAGGGCCAAACAACACATTGGTGGAAAATGACGAAATTGGGCGACTTTTTACGTGGCTGAGGGTTGATGCTATTTCTTTAATGGAAGAGCACAAGGTGATTAAAACAAGAGAACTAGTCTCTAACACAGACATGGCTACGGCTTGTTACTAACATGTTTGTTAGCTGTCAAGTTTCAGTCAGAATTCTGAGATTAAAGTCAGAGTTCTGTCTTTTTTCCCCATATTAAACTGAAATAATTTTTAAAAATCAGTTAACGTTTTTATTTTTTCAGTGGCCCTAATCCTCTTCCGTACATTGCCATGATTGGACATAAGACATGAGAAAATAACTAACATTACAGAAAAACAATTACTAGAAGTAGATTAAAGGTTCTGGTTTTATTCTTTCGCACAGTTTTAATTCTAGTTTATTTACACTAAAAGATACAAACATCTTCACAGGCTGATGACACTGACCCCTTCCTTCTCCTTTTACAGTAATCTACACGGCAGCATCCTCTTCCTCACCTGCATCAGTGTGCATCGCTACATTGGAATCTGCCACCCCTTTGCTGTGTGGCACAAACAAGGTGGCCGCAAGATGGCGTGGCTCATCTGTGCAGCCGTATGGGTGGTGGTCGCCATCCTTTGTGCGCCGACTTTTAACTTTGCCGCAACAGGAATCCAGCGCAACCGCACAGTATGCTATGATCTGAGCACTCCAAAGCGCTCGTTGGATTACTATCCTTACGGCATGGTTCTCACGTTCATCGGCTTCTTGCTGCCCTTCCTGGGTGTGATGGTCTGCTACTGTCGGATGGCCCACGTCTTGTGCCGTCCTGCTTCCTACCAAGGGGTCTCTGTGGCCACAGGGGAGAAACGGGACAGGGCTGTTAGGATGATCCTGGTGGTGGCAGCTGTGTTCTGCATCAGCTTCCTTCCCTTCCATCTTACTAAAACCATGTACCTGGTGGTGCGAACATTACCTGACGCCCCTTGTAAGATGAGGAACCTCTTTGCAATCGTCTATAAGAGCACAAGGCCATTTGCCAGCATGAACAGTTTCCTGGACCCCATCTTGTTTTATTTCACCCAACCACGTTACCGCAGGAGCACCAGGAAGTTTATGCTCAGAGTGACCACCCTTAGGGAGAAGGGAACCGCCTCGTGAGCAGGTCCCACATGGTTTACGTCTCCCATGAGGTGTCGTCCTTACAACCATTATGTGAGGAAGTCATTAGAGATGCAACCTAAAGACCAGATGGCAGTGAAATGAAAGGTTGACATAAACGAGTCAAAGCTGACCAATTACCAACAGATTCAGGGTGTGCTCCTGATTTATAGATGAAGAGACTGATCATCGGGAAGGATCGCATCATTAATGGTTGGTTTTCTACATGTGAAATGTTCTCACGTACCACTATGTGAATTTAAAGGAGAATTCAATAAGTTAACCCCAAGGACCTGCCAGGGATTTTTCCATCAAGCAAATGGCGCAATGGAGGGGAAATGGTAGAGGTTGTGTAATTTGTGATCAAAACTGACTCAAAATATGATCTAGTGGTTATTTTGTTATTGCACGATATAGAGGCTGAATCTTTTTTGTTTCTCTCCAAGTTTTGACTCTCAGTGTTTATGTTTTGTTTTTACCACTAGAGGGCGTGTGTTCTCCACTGCACTTAAAGACAGGCTCTGTAATGAGTGTAATCAATCTGATTTATTCAGCATGAATCACATTATGAGCCGTGCAGGTCATTATGAACCGATTATGACAAAGTCCAGCTCACAGCGCACTTTGGACGTGGTTTAAAGAGAAGTACATTTTAATGTCAAGGGTGACATTAGTCTAGTGAAAAAGAGGGAACAAAAGGACCATTTATGGACTGAAAGACAAGGTGTAGAGTAAGTCAAGACCTTGTTCTCCACTCGCTGCGAAAGGGAGAACATTTCCTATAAAAGCTGGGTTAGATTCTGAAAACTTGTGGAAGCTTGTGAGAGATTGAAGACTAAAGATGCAAGGATTCAGTCATTTATATTTATAACCCAGTAAAGATGTGCAAGAAGCTTTAAAAAAAGTATTAGAAATTCGCTGCAGCTATAAACACCTAGCCTTGATATCTTGTTTATTATTTTAAGACCGTGCAGTTTAAATATTCACACACACACAAAAGTATGTATACATATAAATACATATACAAGTCCCTTTTTCTAACAGACACTTACATAATGCTTTTTTTTTGCATCCATTTTATACCAAATAATTAATCTATCTAAGAAATGAAACTCACACGCGTTTTAGCAAACACTCACACCATATCAACCCATCCTTTTAAATTTCCATTATTTTAATTAAAGAAAAAACATCAACCACAACAGAAAAGACAGAAAAAGAGCCTCATGTAGTTTCAAAGCTGTATTTACTTATAATGTCTAAAAAGCCTTGTGAATCTGGTCATTGCATTACATGTTTTCATTTCATCACTACAGTTTTTCCATGATTGAACTACCTTTGATGACTGGTTGCCATTTTCTGATTTCGAAAGCTTAATAATATCTAGTCTATGGGTGATGGGTCGGTACAAGAAAAGAACTAATGTACAATGTTTTATTTATGCTCAAATAAATTAAGAAGGCATGAATTTTAAATAATGCATTGCTAGACAAAGGAAGGTAATATTAAATAATTGCTTCCGTTTGATATTTTTACAGGAATTATTAGATAATTAAGACTAATGTCTAATTTACTTGTTGTATGTAAAGTTTTGTTAAAACTGTTTCTATTTTACTTTTTTTTGTTTTAAGAAAATCCTGCTGCAATGAAACATGAATTTATCTGAAGGATTTTTACATTTCGTTGCCAGGGGTGTCTACATGCATCACTCTGAGCTCTCTACCACAGGTTTTCTAGAGATATAATGCATTGCTTAGCATAGCATCCTTTTAATCACATTTTTACTATAAGTTTAAAACCTTGCTCTTTGATTTAAAATGTGAACCTTATTTGTTTTTTTATCGCCCTAAAAAAAGTACAAACAAGTGTTTTTTTATGTTTTTATTTAAGAAATGCCTATTTATAAATGTAGAAGCTGTGAATCTGTGTCATGCTGGACAGTATAACAGAAATCCCAAAGATGCTCTTGCTGCACAAGCTTCCCCAACAGTTTCCTGGTAACTAAGTCGATCTTTTAAGACCAACATGAGTGAGGGTATTTCATCTCCCACTAAATGATTTATATGCATCAAGCTTGGATGATGATAAAGTTTCTATTACTCTTATATCTGACAAATATTTCTTCAGCTCAATGTGAAATGTCTATGCATTTTAAATGCAAGGTATATATTTAAACACAAATATGAAGTAATGTGTTTGAAGCTTTGTGTTAAAAAAAAAATCCTTTTTTAATGTAATAGTCTAAGTTATAAAGTGCACCCTTCAATGCTCTTAATGTGAGGCTTTATAATGTGTGTGATGTGGAAACGTGTCCTACATCTGTCCTAGTGTTTTTAGGAGTTTTGTTATGTTTTATATGTTCAAATATGTGTAAAATAAAAGTGTTCGGTGCCTCACATGTTTTATTGGTTATTTTTATTGTTTTGGACTCCGTTTGTACGCTGTATGTTTTTATAATTTAAAGCTTACTGACAAAAAAACAAATAAAAACACCATGGAAAAAACATGATTTTTAAGGGGTGTGGTTTAAAATTCTGTCATTGTAGTGGCATTATTCATTTGAGTTAGAATAATGCAGTTACACAGCAGTCATATTTAAGAAATCTCACAGAATGTGAATACAAGCTGGAATTGATTGTACATTTTCCTTTAATCCTTTTTTTAAAATATCAAGTGAAACTTTTGCACATGCTCTCATTAATATTTAGAGGATTGGGCCTCAGTGATTTGCACACAAGGCAAGACAAAGAGCCTGTAATTAATAACCAGTCATAATTCTGGCTGTGTGTTTAAACAGGAAAGGTAGAGTTTATTTTAATTAGTGGATTTTTAAATTTAAAAACATTGCTAATATAGGCATACTGCTCAGAAAGTTTTTGCAGTGTACCTTCTCTACATGACAGTATTACTAGGAAATAAATCTTCTCCACACCCTGGTGGACAGTTGCTACAGTACTGTAAAGTTTAAGAGCCTCACCACAAACTTTTCACCAGAAGCATTTGTCTTCTTGAAGTGGGCAGCCAGAGGTGTCCAGTTTGACCATCTTTCCCTGCACTGGTCACTGCGGACATATTGGCCTGATTATGGGTTCCTGGATGGCTCCTGATTATCCTAACATATGGCACTCTGTCTGAGGGCGACAGCTTGGGTCTGCTGTGCAAAACCTGGAACTAATAGGAGGATGATCCCATACATAGATCAAGACTGGAATAAATACAACAGACAAAACTTTTTTCAATTGCTTTAATGGCAGTTGTATTGAAAAGTGTATTGACGATACTCAAGTTAGATAATTCAAATTCTCCATTAAATCATAATTAACCAGAATTATGCCAGAATCTTTTGGATGGCTAAAGGGAATCTATCCAAGTAGGTTAAAGGTGTTTTTCCAAGCCTGTTTGTTTCATTTTTAGACTTTCTTGGTTAAAGGACACCTCGGCAATGTCCATACCAGCTTAGTCATTTAGGGAGGAGGCGTAAACTCCATCTCAAAGAAATATAAGAAAAAAAAACAACCCTGACTGCAGACACTTGATCCTAACTTCAGTATTTAGAAAGCAAATAGCATTGCAATTAGATAGCAAACAAATACATTATGATATAAACCTTTCATATCAGTAGAAATTGATAATTATTTATTTTTGTACCTCTTCAAAAATAATAAGTGGAAAAAAAAAGGTGGAACCAAAATTATAACCCTAACCTTTATTCTTCTTGTTGTTGGATTTATTGGCGGTTGGCAACAAACATTTAGTAGCATTACCGCCACTTACTGGTATGAAGTCTGGTTCGTGATGGACTATCTACTAATAAACATATATATAAATTCTAAGTGGAAAAAAAACAAACTATATACATATTCACACGCATACACACACAAATATACATACTTATACATAACTTGATATTCTACCCATCTATATCATACACACATCCATCCTCTCTATAATCAAATTCTATGAAATAATTTAGTTTTCTTTAAAAAAACGAATAACTATTTGTATATGTTTAGTCCCAAATTCTTCCTCTTTAATACATTCAAACTCTCTCCTCATATATCTTCTCTCACTTTCATATTTATGACATTTCAGTATAACATGATCTATTGTTTCATATTTTCCACAATAATCACATTTGCCAGTATTATGCTTTTGAGTTTTGAAAAGTGTTCAGTTAAGTCTTGTAGGCTCAAATCTTAACCTTGTTATCACTCTCTCCTCCTTTCTATTTCGTCTTCCGTTTCTTAGTTTTCCTGCTATCTTCTGAAAATTACAAAACCAACTTCCTGTTTTTTCTTCATCCCACTTTTTTGCCATTTTTCCATCAGCTTTTCTTTAATAATACTCTTTCCCTCCGATTTACTTGTTTTAACTGTAAAACTAATAGGATTTTGAATTGCCCTCCTTGCCATTTTAAGCAATATATACAATATGTAACTATAAAACCCATATATTCTGAACCTTAACCTTTATTAAACATAAGCCCTGTCTTTTAAAAAGAGGTCCGCTCTGCCTACATCCCCCAGAATGCTGTGCAGCTCTAGATCAGAGTTAAGTGAAGTTATATTTTTCTATCTGAAATATTTGCTATTGATATAGGTCAGGTTTCTATTATGATATATATCATTTTATTGCCCAGTCCTAATAGCTGGCATGTTTTTGAGATGAAGCTGGAGTAACAGAAGAAAAGCCACACATATAAAAAAAAAAACACATGCAAACTCCATGCAGAACGAAAACCAAGGCTGTGGATTCAAATTTAAAATTTTATTTTGAACCTACAAAGAACATTTAACAGTTTCTTAGGTTAAAGATCCTGTTCCTTTTGCCCGCACAGAACTAGGGAAGAAAGCCTTTAGCTACGCAGCTCCTTGTGTGTGGATTTTTTATTTTTTTTTTACAAAGAAACTGGAAATTGACTGAGTTTTTATCACTAAATGGTTTTAAGTTGAAAGTGAAAGAATCTGAAGCAGCCTCAATGAGCTGTAATTGTTTTACTTGATATGTTTTTTATTTTTTATGTACCTGTCATGTATCTTAATGTATCTATGTTTAATGTATCTTATGTAACTATGCTGCCTCTTAGCAGGACTCCCTTGAAAAAGAGGTTTTTAATCCCAGAGGGATTCCCCCCCCCCCCCCCCCCTGGTTAAATAAAGGTTAAATAAAAAAGATTCTGTCCTATCAAACCAGCATACAGTAGACAGTTTTCTTTCCACAACCATGTTCTTTGCTCTAGATCTGGAGCAGCAGTGAGTCGGTCGGTAGGGGGCGCTGCAGTGAGAACCCATCTCTTTATTTGTGAGCAGAGAATTCCCCTCTGGAACAAAAGGACCTGTTAAGCAGACAGCCACATGGGAAGCACCACAGAGAGCTTATTGTGTTGTAGTGAAAACTTTCATCCTTGCCCCCTCCTCCTTCCTACAAATGCTGACACGCTGTTTCTGCAGCTCCTTGCTGTGCCACAATAGCTGTAAAGTATGCATTGATGTGGCTTCTCTACTTCCTGGAGCTTAATGGTCAGTATATTAAAAATCAGTTTTTATTTATAATCCCTGCTACTTTAGGAGCTTTCTTTCCTTTCTGACAGTCTTGTTGTGTTTTTCACAAGGGAAGAGGCTATAATTACATCCAGTTAGTCCACTGTATCTCCCCTCTATCAACAAGAAAAAAAAAATCTTTCCTCTCAGTCCCCAGGGGGGGTTATGACAGCCCTTATACCCCCCAAGTCCCGCCCACCCCCTCTGCCCTATCTCAAGCATTAACGTGCAAACGCAAAAAAAAAAAAAAAAAAAAAAAAAAACAACAAAAAAAAAGCAAATGTTGCCAAAATAGGAAATCCACAAATATTTGAGAGTGGTCGGGTCCCATGCAGGAGGATGCGCGCAGAGGTTCAAACAGCAGGAATAATAATGGAAAAGTCGTGTTTGTGAGGGGGGTGGCTGAGGGAAGTTTGGGGCCAAAAAAACTTTTTTTGTTTTTTTTTCTGAACGGATATTTTCGCCAAACGATAAAATATGTAAGTTTTTGATCAAGAGGCCTGCCCTCACCTTTTTTTTTTTCTTTTTTTCCGCCCATTGTCTGGTTGTTTTATAAGTAAGCGAAAAACTGGATGTTTTACTAACAGTTTAAATTAAAAACAAAAAGGAATTGGTTTGGGGTTAGTAGAGATTGGGCTGTATGAGGAGGGGAAGAATGGAGCCACAGCTGAAAAAAGTGCTTTGAGTTGCAACAAAGAAAAGACATGAACAATGGCAGAAAGAAAAGAGAAGAAAGCGAGCGTGTATCGCAGCGTCTCTTTCAAAAAGTTGGCCCCAAGTAGTGAGGAACAGCGACACAAACCAGAGGGTTCGGAGGTTGTCGGTGTCGCCCTCCCCCCGGAGCCCAGCCGAGCAGAACAATCCTGGGCGACGCGTAATGTCAGTGTGTCAAGAAAAGTTTCCAAAATCTCAGCCACCGCAACCGCAGAGCCAAAGAGAGGCTCCTCGACTCTTCCCTCCTCCATTTCTCCATCCATCCGCCAGCTCACGGAGAGGTTCGGCAGCAGGAGGAGCGGCGGATCCACCATTACGCACCGAGCCTCACCGGGAGATGGTGCGGCGCTGACGCGGGAGAGCGGCGCTCTGCTCCGGGCCCGAGGCGACAACAGAGACGGATCTCCGTGTCGTAAATCTCCCCACGAAGACAGCGGTGAGGGGTGTTTCCTGGAGAGCGAATCTCTGTCGGACAGTAAAGCGCTGAAGTTTCACTCTGGCACCGATTCTGTGTCTGGCTCCGACTCGGAGAGAAAATGCGATAAGTTGATTTTTACGCGTTTATCAGCAGCGAGCTGCCAGTCTGGTAAGAAAGAATATTCTAAGATACATTCCGCTGAACTTAGAAAGAGTTTAACGACAGATGAAGATGAGGATGTTGGAAGTAAAGAGACTATCCCACCTTGTAAATCTAACAGAAATTATCACCACATCCCCACACATTCGGAAAGATGGCCCAGTGTTACCAAAATCAGACAACGTTTCGACGAGAAAGCTCTGCAGCCATCCAAGACTAACACCTGTGAAGTTTTAAAAACAGCTGGCAGAACTTATTTACTTGACCCAAGCTTGAGTGAAAGTGACCAACAGCCAGTTTGCATTTCTGCTTTCGACAAATGCATACCTGGATCACAAAGTGGGGACACTGCTAAAGAAACTTCTTGTGACTGTGCAGATTTTTATTCCAAAACTGAACATAATCAGCATTCTAATGAAGAGGAAGGAGAAATAGAAAAAGCTGAGGTATCTTCTAGAAGTCGTTTTTACACCTGGTCTAATCATCCAAGGATTAATTTATCAACATGCAGATTTCATAGTGCCAATGCTCAGTCAGATGCTACCTGCAAGTTCCCCAGATTGACACCTGACTCTAAACCTGACCTTCAACCTTGTGCTGCTCCTTATTCAAGACCATCAGAAGGTTTAGACACCTCCTCCTGCTCCTCCTCTCTACAGCAGCCGACAGAGAGGGAGAGAAGGGATAGACAGGGGGTCGGGCTGCCCAGGGATAGTTTACATTCCTCACATAGCTCCTCTAGAGCACCAGCCCCCACCACCTCCTCCATCTCCTCTACTCCAGCTCTAGATAAATCTATTACCTCCTGTTCTTCTGCTGTAGCTCCCCCCTCTGAGCCAGGAGCCTCTACAAAGGTTAGTTCTCCACTCAGCTTTTATTGGAGGTTAAGCTCTGGAGACGAAGAAGAGGTGCTCATCAGAAGAAGAAGAGGAGTGGCTTGGGGTTATCCCTCCTGTCCTGCTTCCTCTGTCACTTGCTGGGGAGGGGAGAAGAGCAACACTGAGCAAGGGGGCAGCTATTTATCCCGCAATAAAAATGCCTGCTTGGGTGCAAAGATCTTTGGTAGGTCATCAGGCAGCGAGGAGGACATCCCTTCTTCATTAGGCCCCCACTGTCGTGAGCAAGTGCGCCGTCGCTCTCTGAGAAAGAAGAAGAAGGTCACTGGGGCTGCTCAAGCAACAGGTCGCGATGATTACAATGATCAGTATGGTGAATCAGAAGACAGTGATAGTGACCCAGCCCTGACCATGGATCACACACAGAGAGAGCACCACAACACTGGAGAAGTTATCCTGACATTACGTCGGAGCCAATCAACCAGAGAAGCTGGCACTCGTAGCAACAGAGCCAGGGTGCAGCACTGGGAGCGCATCTCCTCACCTGCAATGTCCAGCACACTTCCTGTTGTATCCCGAGTGTCAAAGGTGAAGATACCCCCTTTTGTTTCCAGTCCTGGTGATTCATGCCTTGGTAGCAGATATTCCAGCACTGAGACACTTAAAGATGAGGACCAGAGAACTGATGGCAGCTGTGGAGCCAATATGCTCTTTAACAGGGGGGGAACAGAAGGGAATACGAGCAGATCTGTTCCCTCCTCTGTATTCAATAAAACTTATCATGGGAATTTTACTATGTACCGGTCCCCTAGCTTTGGACATGGAGATAACTTCTCCCGTGCCCCTGCCCGGGTGCGTCCAAAGATTTTGCCCACAGTAACTTGCATACAAGGTTTAACACCCAAAGAATGTGGGGGAGTAAGGGGTCCTGAAACGGCTGTTTTTACAAAAACAACAGGGAGGGAATCTGCAAAGAAGGATGGCAAGATTTCTATGTCCAACCCAGATATCACATCAGAAACTATGACTCTCTTAAACTCACTAAAGAACGACGTTCCAAAACTGAAAATGCGAAGACCAAGTGGAGGGGACCGAAGTGGGGCTGGGGATAAGTCGTCAGAGTACTGTAGGGACTCGGACGCTCGAGGTGGGACAAATTTACCTTTGGGTCACCGCCCCTCACTAAAAGACCTAACAGCCACTCTGAGGCGCACAAAATCCTTCACTTATTCAGACAAACCTTCAACAGGTGCAAGGACTTACTTTACAAATAGACCAACAAAGAGGAGTTCTTCTGAGCAGCAACTTGACTTGGATGATGAGAGAACTGAGGGAAAGGTGGTGGTGTCAGACAGAGAAGTAGAAAGTAATGGTGGGGATTTTAGGTATGGGCAAAATCCGAGGATTTATCGATTGGAGGACGAGGATGGGGAAGTGATGCCAACTCCACTAGAGGAGAGGTGTGTACAGGAAGCTAGGCAGGTCATTCAAGATATCTGCCAGATGTGCACTAGGGATGAGGATGATGTAGCTTTAATGTCATCTGATACTATTTTGGGGGATGAAGATTTACAGGTCAAGCAAACAGATGACGGCAAGGAAGGAGCAGGACGCGTTAAAGATGAGAGGAGAGCAGCTCAAGAGTCTGAGAACACAAAAGACAAAGATAAACATGAGCAGGAGAGAGAGAGCAGGGAGAGGAGTGAATCAAGTATGCAGCTGGAGAAGCTAAACAGTAGGGGTACAGACGCATGGGAGAAGTCGAATAGACAAAGCAGAGAGCTGGAGAGAGCATTACTGAAGGGCGACTCAGAGGAAAGCATGCTCTATGACCGCTCCATGGATGAACTTTCAGGCCATGAGTCCAGCTTAACGGATGAGGGGATTGTGACAGAGCCAGAGACGGGTCCCGGTGACCTCTCAGAGAGGCCCTTCCTGAGAGCAGCTGGAGATAATTTAGGTTCAAGAATAGCAAAAACTTTTCTGGGGCAGCCCGTGATTGGATGGAAGCAGTCAACTGAAGTAGAAGACTTCAAGCAAGACGAAAAGTCAATGCCAGGGAGCAGCTTGAACTGTACAAACCGTCTGAATGAAACGCTTTTTCCTCACTCTGTGACTCATTCTGTCTGTACGGCTCAGATTGACAATCATAGTATGGATATGAAAGGTACTACTTGTATAAACAAACCCAACTTTGAGGGAATCCACGCTAACAGTACTCTGTCAATGGGAGCCATGCCAGCTGCAGCATCCGAGGGAGGAAGTAGAGGATTTGAAGCTCCTGCAACCCCAAGTGCACTCCGTCGAAGGCGCAAGTTCTCCCCCTCTGCTAACAACAACACAGGGTCCGATTCTAGTAACGGCTCTCATGCAGAGCCAACAATAGCAGCTGTAGGAAATAGCGAGTCCACTGTCTACCGTTCTCTTAGTGACCCCATGCCTCAGCGGTGCTGTTCTGTAGCGGCAGAAGGAAGCAACAACTTTTCATCAGTTGACAGCAACCTTTTGAGTTCCCTGTCTGTCAAAGGTGGAGGAGTTCCTCCTGAGGCCTCTGTTGCATCTGCACTATCCGAATATGAAGGCAGTGTGGCCAGTGACTTGTCTGTTTACAGCGAAAGTGGTTTACGAGATGATGGCATTCAGGATTACAGTAGGGTAATCAGAAATATTGTAGCTGAGCCCGGTGCAATGGACAGGTTGATCATAGATGATCATGGCAATGGCAAGGCCCCCAAGAAGAAGTCCTTTAGTGACCCCAGTCGTCGTAGTGAGGCTCCTACAGTCTCCCAAATTGATCCTCAAACTGGCAGCACGCACCAAGTCAGTGAGTTGGATCAATCTGGACAGATTCCACCTTCTAGCAGTGAACCAATCCTCAGTGAGCAAAGAGAGGAACTGTGGCAGTCAGAGGCTAAGACCACACAAATGCTACAGGCTGAGATGGCTGCCTCCCAGCCAGAAAGTATGGCTCTATCTGATAACCCTGAGGATGAAGATGATTTGATAGACAACGATTCAAAGGAAGAGAAGTTTAACTTGGATCTCAAGCTCGCTGAGGTTCTGTCTCCCAGAGTAATACGTCGGCCACCTAAAAAGAGACCTAATAGATTACAGTCTCTGCCTGATAATGCCCAATTTCAGCCCATTGAAGTAGGATTAGAGGACACAGAGGACATTAACCACAGTCGGCTCATCTCATCTCCTCCAGCATCGCCACTGAAATCCAAAATGAAACCTAAGCACATTCGCCACATCAGTGAGCCTGCCACCTTTGTCCCCATCTCTCCACCTGCACATCTTCAGCCACTGAAAGAAGTTGAATTCCAAGCAGTACCTCCAGGAGAAGAAGCCCCATCTCAAGAGGGTTTAGCACAGAAGTATAGTCTTGAGGACACTGAGGGCAGGCCTGTTGCTACAGCAAGCAATGGAGCTCAGAGTTTAGTTTCTAATGCAGAGGGCTCAGACAGGACAAACAGTTTTGGACCTAATGACACTGGATCTCAGAAGGCCAGCACGGAGGATACATTATCAGCAGCTGCTCCACAGAAGACCAAACCCAAAGTGGTGAGTTCCAAATTATTCTCCTCCTTCGGTAATTTGCCTAACACTGTGTGCTTGGTATTAAGGTTCTGATGCTTTTGGTTAAAGTAAAAACACACATAGGCTATTTGATTTACACTACTGATAGGGGAAGAAGCAATAAAAAAATCCTAATACCACATATATTATATAATATATTTCACTGTAGCATCTAGTGCTTGTATCTATTTGCTGTCAACAAACACGTGCAGAGGCCATTTTGGTTCAAGTCTATAGGGCAGAAGCCATTGAAAGGCTGAGCGGAGTTAAACAAGCATTAGAGGATGTTATTAGTTTGATTAAACAAAACTCACACAAAAGGCATTAAGATATAATCCCAGCCCCGCTGTTTGTTTTAGTTTGTTTTTCCTGGCATCGATTGTGACTGTGCCAAGGTTAGAGGCATAGACGGAAGGGGGTCCAATACTGGGTCCAATTATACTGTTATATTTGATGCTACGTTTAAAGGCTGAGAGATGTATTTAGTCTTATTATAAAAGCAGATACATTGGTGGTGTAAGGCGTAATCCAATATTTGTCTGTATTTATATGAATACAGAGAAGCTGTGTTTTGTTATTGTTTTTTTTTAACAATTGCTTATGTTTAATAAAGGCTTGTTCAATAATGTTGGGAAAGGGGAACTAAATGTGCCTATACATATTTCTAACACACCTCTATGTAGACACAGATGCTACCTCTCCTGCAAATCCATGACTCAGGTTTAAGTTTTTATTGTTTGCAGTTATGGAAGTGGCTGTGGGGTATAAAGAAAGTGAAAACAACTCTGGGAGCTCATGCTAGAAGACTGATTCCAGCAGCTAGGGCTCTGGGTTTGTTATTGCTGGGATAGTTCTGTAACCCTGTGCTTGTTGCTTTCTGGTGATAGACTCTGTAATACAATAATTTGATAATATCTCCCAATAGGAGATTGCTTGGAGCTACTAGAGTTTATTTAAAAACTAAAGACTGTGATAAATATTAGGGCTGAAACAATGAATCAGATGAATCATGATTAATTAACTAATTTAGTAATCGATTATTCGTTATTTGGAGTATAGAGACTGTGAAATATACCTTTAGCTGACAGAGCAAAACCACTCAGAGCAGTAATTATATCATATTTGTTAAAAAATATATAAACATTTTGCATGTATTCAGTATAATTTTTTTTCTCTTCTGTCAATATGATCGATCCAGAACTCTTCAAGTGGAAACGTTTTTTAGATTCATCTAAAAAATCTTTAAGGAACCGATTACTAATTGATTAATCGCAAAAATAATCAACAGATTAATCGATTTGCTAAATAATTGTTAGTTGCAGCCCTAATATACATATTTAGCATGTATATCAAGAGATCAGAGCTGAAAAAATCTCTTGTAAATTAGACCAGCAGCCCCAATGAGAATACCTATAAAATAAATAATAAGTAAAATAATAGAAATAAACTCCCCAGAAACATATTTATATGTACACGTACCTCTATATTGCATGAAATAAATGAAATAAAATGAAAAAACAAAATGGTATTGGAAACATATAGGGATACTAATTAGCAAAAGGGGCTGGTTTGACCTGGAACCTTGACCAGCATTCACCATTCTATTTATTTGTTGTTTTTTTTGTGTGCAATTTTTGTGTTTTTTCCTTTTTATTTTCTTAATGATATTAGCTTGCTTTGCTTGTTGTTTTTCCACTTTGGTGCAATTGTAAGAGGCCGTGTTGCTATAGTCACTCCCATCCATTACTCTAGTGACCAGTAGATTTCCCTCCAAGTTGCTGTAGTCACCGGAGGGATAGCTGCAAGCCACCCGTCTGAAAAGGAAATGGGTAAAGGCAAATGGGAAGTTGTTTTGGTAACTGGATGGTGAGATGGTGTCCAGCACTACTGATGCTTATTGCTTTCTGAATGTGTGGTGTGTCATTGTACTTGCAGCTGAGTGAGAGCACAGTGTTTGTGTTATAAACTGGTTTCCCTTTCTTCTGCTTTGTGTGTGTGAGAGAGCCCTGGTCCATATTGTTTCCCTGGAACATGTCAATGTCTTGTTCAAACGTTTGGAGCCAGCACATTAGGTTTAGAGCAGTGCCCTGCAGCTCTGCTGAACTCTGACACCCTTTGTGATTTGGACTGAATGAATTAATGGCTGTGCTAGACTAGAAATTATTCCTTAAAGGTTTTGGAAGCCTTTAAAGAAAAGGGAATTGCATCTGAAAATGTTAAGAGTAAGGGAGGAATATTTATCCTTCTTCAAGCTCTTTCACCTTTACTTTACTTCGTTTCCACCCATTCTTTTCTTCGCTCTGGTGCTATCTCTTTAATCTAGATCCAATCTTCCTCCCGCTTCCAGATGTTTCTGCCAGTCCTAGTCTTTATTGTTTGCATGCTTGTAATGTCGTGCCAGTGTGTTGCCTTTTCACATCTCCCTTTTACTTTTTCATCCTAATTCCCTCTACATTCCATATCATGTTATCTTATTCTGTCTGCTATGTCTTAAGAACATTGCTGCAAAATGAACTCATAACTTTTAGTGCAGACTATGCTGACAGGCCAAATGTCAGGTAGATGGAGAAAGAAAGCAAAAGCAAAAAAAAAAAAAAGTAGAGGCAGTGGCTTAAAAAAGTAACAGGATTAAAATAGAACTGAGACGGAGTTAAAGAATGAAGCAGAAATGAAGGGAGGGGGGTGCATTGAAAAAGGAGATCAATAGAAAAGAAAAGGGAAACTGTTTAAATGTTGGTCTGCTTTTTGTGGTTTGTTCAAATAGCGCAATAAATATCTGCCTCCTCATTTATCAGCAGGTTAATGAAATCCAGTCCCTTGGCGATCGGACCGCCATGTTCACAATGAGTACTCCTCAGAGACTGAACAGGCAGGTTCGAACAAATAGTACCATAAGGTGCTGCTGTAACCAGCGGTGTCTGTCATTTGTTTAAAGAACGTCAGCACACATGCTGTTTTAGCCCCTCGTGTGATGGATGGGCGTTCTCTTGAACTTGTATGTAAGTGCATGTCTTCTGCTCATTTAAGCAGTCTTTAACAGGCAGCAGGAATGTGGTCCATCGTCAGCCTCTCCTTTCATTGCATAACGGCCCCCTCTTCCCAAAAAGAGATGGATATGCAATGTCAAAATGACCTTGTTTTGCTATGGAACACTTTGTTCTAATTTTAAAGTGTGAAACGTTCTGTTTTTATAAAATTCTGTTTACTACTCATAACCAAATAACACCGATTAAGAGACAAGATTACCTCTGTAATTTTTGCAGATGGTTCTTCAAATCAGGCAGAACCGTGCTCCACGTTGTTCATTATCATTTGATTAATGAAGCCAGGGCATGTTGACAGAAGGTATGAGTTGGGATGTTTAGGGAAGATGAACGGAGGGCAGGATACAGCCAGAGAGGAAGAGAAAAGCTGGTTTAGATCATGGATTAGCTTTAAAAGCAAAGTGTTTATAACTATAGATATATGGGTGGCTTTGTTTTATCTCACCACCCACATCGAATTGAATACTTTCCATCTGCTTTCTTTCTTTCTTTTTTTAACAGCTCCTCTCGTGTAATCTCTAGTTATACTAACCAGATGAAAATAATAAAAAGGTTGTGACATTATTAATGTTCATTGTTCTAAGTTAGTTCATGCTGTAAACTGTAGATTACTAAATCATAAAAAATAAAAACCTATACACAATATAGGGAAAGATTGAACTACAGTTATAAAATTAATACTTTCATAACAGTAAAAAAAAAACTGTGTTTAATGTAATTTAGACAATTTTACTTGAAATATGATGTGCTGTGTTTTTAGTTTCAAAAATATTACCTTAATTGATAACCATAGAGTATCTTTTTATTGGTCAATATTGATTGTTTTTTGTTGTTGTTTTTTTTAGAAAACAACAAGCCTCTTTCCCTCTCTTCAGCTTTCAAATAAGGTGGTCAAAAGTATCGTTACTGTGGAAAGTATCCATACTCGAACGCTGTATCCAAATACATTTGCCATGGTGTCAATACTAAATCAAAGTGGTATTTGAATATTTTTGCTATTGTTCATTTTATATTTCCTGATTATTTTCACATTAAATGAATAATACCTCCAACAAAATTAAAGTATTGTCAAATTTAGTCATATTTGGGGCATTTATTTTGCATTAATTTGCACGCTTATTCAAGTAATAGAATCTATGATTCTGTTGCAAAACGTTGGTCCATGTTGAGATTGAATGAATGAATGCTAATATGTTTTTTATGCCTTTATTTGACTTTTTGTTTAACCCAATGATGGTAAAAATAGTTTCGAACATCGAGTATTTTCCTGGGGATCGATATGGAGTTTGAGATTTTAGTATCATGAGAACCCTACTTTCTAGCTAGTCAGCCTGATTGGTTTTAGGTGGATAAAAACTAACTAACTAGACATCAATCTTCAGCATTTCTGTATTTTTCTACAAACCTGCTGTGAAATGACCTTATTCAACTGCAAATGAAGTGTAGAGCATATGTATTGAAATGAAATTTGGCCCTCTAATCCAAAAGTATTGATGATTTTCCAAAAGTGGAAGGTACAACAACAGATTATAAAATAAAAACAATTTTACTTAATCTTTTAATTTGAGCATTTGATTCTTAGCATTTCAATCTCAAATGATAAAAAAAAAACACAAGCATGTTGCCTGGAAGTTAGTAAGAAATCGAAACCTTATAAACCTGTATTTATAAAACTGGAGCTCCTTTGAGTAACTCCCTTATAACCACATTTAAGCTTAAAAAATAGGGAACAAATTACAGAAAAAAAAATATAGCCAGTCTGACTTAATTAGTTTTACTTTATTTTCATTATTACACCTGTCCTGCTTTGATGAGCTCAGTGTGAAAACAGCTGATCCCAAGCTGTTCTCTACATCCAGTCTGTTCCTCTGCTTGGTTTGGATGTGTGTCAAAGCTGATGGTGAACTCAAACATAAGAAAAAAATATTTTTTGGTTGTTAA